CTTGCACGCCACGCCACGTTGACACTTTTCGTGCGCTCATCCTCGCCCGGTCGTACTCGGATTCCCATCCTGACCGCCTCCACCAGACGCTTCCCTCCCTTCCTTCCAATGCCTCGGACGATTTGTCGATAACACACCAATTTGATCCCCGAACCCTGGCTGCCCACGCTTCAAGATCCTCGACCGTCACACGGACTGGTACGGCAGCTACACGAAAGGTGCATAACCCCACGTCCAGCTTTCCCGCACAGATATAAGAAAGCTTTCAACATGTCGGGCCGCTACTCCCTGCGCCAGACTCCCAGGTTAGTCTATTTACTTTCCATCTCGTCTCTGCATTTGAAGTTGTCGGCCGGCCGAAGCAATTGGGCCCATCGCAACTGTACCACACGACCCGAAGTAGCAGTTGCGTACCGCCTTCCACTCGAAGTCAATACTCTGCACACTGAACCCGTCAAGCTCCAGTTCACTAACTGGTTATTCAGGAAGAAGGAGCTCTTTGAGGGTATGGTTGAGACTCCTCGACGTGTCTCCTCCCGCCGCAAGTCACCCGAGAACGAACCCATGGCAGACACCACCGAATCCAAGATGACTGCCCGTACTCCCCGCCGACGCGCTACCGGCAAGTTTCGCGAGGAGCTTGATGACGAGATGGTCACCGACAAGTCCGTCTTGAACGGCAAGGCTGAGGTAGAGGAGCCTTTGGCCAACGGTTATTCCAACGGACACGCGAACGGACACGCCAATGGACACGTGAAGGAAGAGTCCGTCAACGGTCACGCTACCAACGGGCATGTCGAGGAGAAGAAGCCCGAGCTTTTCACGAACGGCGATGCCGCTCCTCCCACGAAGGAGAACGCCCAGCGTGTCTACCAGGAGGGGGAGATCATTGACGGCTGGAAGGTTGGCACCGACCCCAAGATTGACACTTCGGGCGAGTTCGAGTTTGGTGGCAGCCTCGGCACCTTGTCCCTGATGATTGGTTTCCCTCTTCTGATGTGGTACATGTGGATCGGAGCCACCTACTATGATGGCGGTGTGCCGCGCCCTCGGGATGGAGAGTCACTGGGAGAGTTCTTCCGCCATCTTGCCAACCTCGTCTACACTGGAGCGTTCCCCTCTCTCCGTGCCTGGCGCATCTACTGGACCTTCTTCATCTTCGAGGGCGCATGCTACTGCCTCCTGCCCGGCGTCTGGGCTTGGGGCAAGCCTCTCGCTCACGAGGGTGGCAAGCAGCTGAAGTACTTCTGCAACGCCTACGTCAGTTGGTACTTCACTATTGCTGTCATGGCAGTGCTGCACTTTAGTGGTCTTTTTCCCATCTACACCTTCATCGATGAGTTTGGACCTCTGATGACGGTGGCTATTCTGAGCGGATACCTTGTGTCTTTCGTCGCTTACTTCTCTGCTCTGTGGAGGGGGGCTCAGCACCGCATGACCGGCTACCCCATCTACGACTTCTTCCTTGGTGCCGAGCTGAACCCCCGCATGTTTGGCATCCTCGACTTCAAGATGTTCTTCGAGGTCCGCATCCCTTGGTTCATCCTCTTCGGACTCAGCTGCGGTGCTGCTGCCCGACAGTACGAGAGATACGGATACATTTCTGGCGAGGTTCTTTTCCTCGTCTTGGCGCACTACCTCTACGCCAACGCTTGCGCCAAGGGTGAGCAGTTGATCGTGCCCACCTGGTAAGTTTTCTGATACATCTAACGCGACCATGTCTAACAATATCCAAGGGACATGTACTACGAGAAGTGGGGCTTCATGCTCATCTTCTGGAACCTTGCCGGTGTCCCTCTCTCCTACTGCCACTGCACCATCTTCCTCGCCAACCACCACCCCGACGAGTACAAGTGGAACCCCATTGCGCTCACCGTCCTGTTCATCGCGTACCTGTTCGTCTACTGGGTCTGGGACACAACCAACAGCCAGAAGAACAGCTTCCGTGCGCAGGAGCGTGGACAGCTCATCAACCGCAGGACTTTCCCCCAGCTTCCCTGGAGGGTCGTCAAGAACCCTAAGACCATTACCTCGGCCAAGGGCGATGTCATTCTCGCTGATGGCATGTACGGATACGCTCGCAAGATCCACTACACTTGTGATGCCTTCTTTGCTATCTGCTGGGGATTGATTACCGGTTTCAAGTAAGCAGAAGCGTATGCAAGAACGCCTTGACGGTGCTAACAATATTCTAGGAGCCCCTTCCCCTGGTTCTACCCGGTCTTCTTTTGTGGCATGATTGCCCACCGCGCCGCCCGTGACATCCACCGCTGCCGCCAAAAGTACGGCGATGCCTGGACCGAGTACGAGCGCCAGGTGCCTTACCTGTTCATCCCCGTAAGTAATTACATCCTGCTCTCAGATGCAAATAACTAACTCTTCTCAGTGGGTCATTTAAGCTACCAGATATCCATCCATCCTCACACGATGATAAATCGAGACTTCGGCCGCTTGGCCATTTCTGTATATATATGCTTCGTCACCTACTGGTGCATCTACCTTTGTTAATAATGGGGTAATCGGAGCAGGTCGTTCAGGACAGGAAAACTGCCGGCGGAACACACTGCCATTTCGGCATAAAAGCGTTTTAATCACGGCGACGGTCATGTTTCTTCGAAGACGATGCTGTTGCTGCTTCTCATGTATATACGGATCACGATAATTGCTCACTGTGTCAATGAAGATGTTAATGTTAGAGATTCAAAGTAAGCTGATTGGGCTGAAGTGACATAAATCAATAATACATTTGGATGCCTGGACCTGGACTGTTATCTATATCCTTTCCATGACCGTGGATGTGCCCGTTACTCCCAGCAATTTCTCCAGATTTCGGACGACTCTAGATGAGCAATGGACTCTTGAGCTTTGGGTGGCTGACGTGTTGAAGCGTCTGGCGAGATGCTGGCCAACTCCTATCTGGTCTTAATTGCATATTGACCTTGAATCTTCAAAGTGCCGCTGTAAGTAACTCTGTTTACGTCCTTGTTCAAAGTTTTCGATGCACCTATTCGAAAACATCTTGGTTCTTATGGCCGTGATAAGCATCATTTCAGAGACTGGCCCAGTCCTCACTATCAAGAAATAAGTTCTGCGGATGTTGCAGAGCCAATCAAAGTCGGTGTATTGTTGCCTGAATACCACGAGGATGGTGGTGAGTACTGAGGCTAAGGAGATGTGCGAGGCACAGTCATATATAAGGGGCAGGGGATGTTTCTTCGCACGAAGTATCGACTTGGTTTGTTGTAGTGTTCGCAGGTCGATCTGGCGATGTCATTGCCTAGGGAGTCGTGATTCTGTCCAAGCGAGGCTTACTTGTAACTCTAGCCACTGCCATGTCGACGAGGCAATATTCAACGACTCAGTGGGAACTTGAACCGAGCGAGAGTAAATGATGCGTTGTTACGTCTAAGATGAGACTGAGATGGCTGGCGTTTTCAATCCTTAAGGCAGTAGAAGTATCGATGTACACCTGATGGGCAGTATCCTCGGTTGGTTATGCGGAAAGTACGAGATCTGAGCTGCATTCTTTGCTCAAGAGATGTCGACATACTGGACATCTCAGCGTCTAGTAACAAAACCCGCTTCATGTGAATGAATATCAACTCGAAAGCGGGGCAAGGTATTGTCTTCGAATACTTCTAATACACTCCAACTCTTGAAGAAGTATAGAGAACCGAAAGCCCTCGGTGTGACGCTCAGGTTGCTTACGGCTGCTGTTAATGAGCAGGCTTCTGGCTGATTGGAGACTTGACTTCTAAGCTAGGAATAAGCATAGATGTAACGGGTCCATTTTCATGAACGAAGTGATGCTGGACATTGTCTGAGACTCCAATATACACGAATGCCTTTCCCTGTAGGCATCTCTCTACCACTTTCCTGGCTGGAGAGACGCCATGGCGTCTTCTGCGTGCGTTTCTTGATATTAGTATAAAGAGAGGCTTTTGCCATATAACTAGGGGGGCAATGATCATAGTCTCCTCAAGGCATTTGAAAAGTCAGAAGGTGCATTTAAGCATCGCGGAAACGCTTTTGGATGTTGGATGTCTATCCCCGCAGACGAGCTCTGCTCAGAAGAGACGCAGTGCCTCGGTGAACTACTCCGCATAATACTGCAGAGACAGAAATGGAAGGCGATAATGAACGACTTATTGAAGTACTGTACTGAATCCTTGTGCTAGTATTAGGCGTTTGGACATGTGCCGTTCGATCGGTATGAACTGATGACACTTATTCACAATCATTTCAGGCCTCCATTTTTGCAAACGGTTCGTGGCTGCAAAAACAATTATGAATGATCATCTCCGTATGGAATGTACATTTTATCATGGTTCGCCACCTAGTCACTCAGATTCGGCCAGATCAACCACCGCTCGCGATCCAGAAGAACGAGTGCAGGGGAAGTAAGGCATCTCGACAGGAGTGTTAATGTGAGTGCCATATTTATGTTCAAGTAAGTTCAAATTCCATTGGTGCTAAGAGAGGCCAGCATGGGTATGTTCTGTTCATGCACTCTGGGATGATCAAGGGATTCAGGATTCGGCGGCCCACGAAAACCGTACGCCAATCATCAGATGCTATTCCCCTTCTGTTTCCAAGACTCAGTCCCACCTCGAGTAACCGATCTGCGACCATACTTCAATCCCTGTATCCACTGACCAACGAGGAGCCTACTTAACTGCAGGCAGCAAAATAAGATCCCTAGCCCACACGCTTAGCTCCAAAGCTGACCCCGGGCTGCATTCGCTAGGCGTATTCTGATTCTACTAGTGTCCTGCGTAAAGTATGTAAACTCAGCAGGCTCGCCTTTCCGCCTTGTCACACAATTACGCTTGTTATTTATCGAAGTCCTGTCGGTGGACTAATAGAAAATGGCAACCAGTGGGGGCCATTTGTCTGTTGACGATGGCAGACGACCGACTGCAACCTCAAGAAGCTCTGTACACTCTGAAACGTCTGGGGTCACCCTCAACGATGCAGAATCTGGCCGTGATGTACCGGAAATGGAAGACATTGGCCATCGCCAGCCGAAAACCTTCCCGTCAGCAAGAACTTACATAAGCGTTCCAACTGAGGAACCACAAGGACATTCTTCAAACATCCGTGATGACGCAGCGGGAGAATATGGCAGGGAGCCAAAAAAGGTCGAACTCTCAAACCGACCATTGGGTAATTTCAACGTCCTCAGTCTGTGGAAGTACGAGTTCTTGGCCATAATTGTATCAGTTCTGGCCTTCATCGCCATGATAATCCTTTTGAAAGTGTCCGACGGAAAACCGCAGCCAAAATTTGCGTATTCCATCAACCTCACCACGACTATCGCTATTTTTACTACTCTCTTGAGAGCTGCGATGGTTTTCGTTGTTGCTGAAGGTGAATCCAAATGTTCGAACCTCCCGTGACGTTCACTAATAGATGATAGTTATCGGACAACGCAAGTGGCTTTGGATGGATCAGCCACGCCCTTTGCGACACATCGAGCATTTTGACAATGCTGGAAGAGGTATCTGGGGATCAATAAGACTTCTGTTTCTGACGCTCAAGCCGTAAGTTATGACACCTCCTATCAACTACAAAGTTTTGTAACTGACACTGGAGGGTTGAAGGAAGCTTACTGTCTTGGCCTCGCTCATTGTGATCACTTCATATGCTGTCGGCCCGTTCGTCCAGCAAGCAGTTAAGACGTATCCTTGTCCTATAAACGGGAAGGGAATTGCGAAGATATCAATTGCCGAACGCGTCATACGATCAGACGCCTATGTCGGGGCCCAAGTAGGCGGCGCTGGAGATCGTGCCGTCATCAAAAACCTCAGGGTCGCTCCGGAACTGCAGATGACTGCCCTGAATGGTCTGCTGGCCGACACTCCGACTGGCTCCGTGAACCTCTTTCAATGCGACTCTGGGAACTGTACGTTTCCTCTCAGAGGGCAAGGAGCTACTCATACTTCACTCGGTCTTTGTAGCACTTGCACCGATGTGAGATCCAAATTGCTGGAATCTCGACACATCTCGAACTTCTCCCACGTGTTTGAGACAGACCGCGATTACCGATTCGACAACCGCTCCGAATTTGGGATCAGCACCTTTTTCAAGTCTGGTATTTTCAACATGACGACTGAACGGACGAGCCCTTACAGCACCACGGAAGACTACGAAAATACCGAGACGTCTATCCTGTCGTTTACTGCAAAAGGCTGTGCCCGTACAAAGGATCCAGAGGACGGATCCCTGACGAGGGAATGCAAACACAGCTACGACAACATGCCGGGTCTTTTTCCAGAGTTCGACATCGTGGCAGCGAACTGCAGCTTACACCCCTGCCTTCGCCGCTACAATGCCAACGTGGTGAATGGTGTACTGGACGAGAAGCTTGTCTCTACCGCGCCGGTCGGTGCAGCCAATATCTCATACGTCCAAGCAAACATAGCGGACGATGTCAGAAATACCTATGTATTTCGTAACTTCTCCTACGTCGCTTTGAGCGAGCCTTGCATTATCAAAGACGCATGGTACGACTCGTCCAACATCAGCCAAGCACCGCGAGACGGCGTGGACTGGACGTCATGGGGCACAGGAGATACTCTCCATGAAGCGCCATCCGAGTGTCTGGTACTCATGGATCCCACCGAGTTCCTTGGTATCAGGCGATTCTTTCTGCAGACGCTCAAAGGATCATGCGCCAAGACAACTTCCGGTTCCAACAGACCGACTTCGAGCCTTGAAAACGGCAGGATCAATTGTGAAGGGGGCTTCTGGGTCGACGCATTCTTCAACAGCGGGAACGCCACATTCGACGATATCTCCACCGCCTTCGACAATATGGCGACGGCGCTGACGAACCGCATGCGCGCGAAAGGGCGTGAGTTCCTCACAGAAGCGCGGAGCTTCACGAATGGGACTGCTGTAGAAATGTCCATCTGCATGCGCGTTGACTGGCCATGGCTGGTGTATCCGGGTGTCCTGCTAGTTCTGACATCGGTTCTCCTTGCGACGACATACGCACAGAGCTGTCGGGACAGGGGAAGACATCCGATTTGGAAATCATCGATACTGCCTTTGCTGTTTTATGGGCCAGATACGCAGCAAACCTACCTGGATAAGCAGCAAGATGGCTCCGATGGGAGACAGTCCTTGCCTCTTATGCAACTGGCTGAGCTCGAGGCAATAGCTGATGCGACTAAGGCGAGGTTTTGCAGCGGTCGGGATGTAGCTGGCTTCATTGTAGACAAAAACGCCCTCTGAGGCCACATAAGTTGCAAGAGGCTGACTAGATGGATGGAGCTCATATCATAGTTGCAAGTTGTGCCTAAATTACAGACGGTTTTGACAACAATTGGGATGATAACTCTCGCACAAGATCTGCGTTTATTATGGTTATGCCTTTGCGCCAAGAGTGTCCACTCGAACCCCGAATTTGTTAGGTTTCATCCTCTTCTCAATTGCTTCTCTCCAGAAGTCCTTGTCTTCGTCAGTACTGACCCGCAACGAGCCTGGATAGAATATGTCCAGCAGGACTAGCCCCATGGAGGGATAGTCTTTCTCGACCTGTTTAATGACAGGGTGTACCCTCTTGTCACGAATAGTCTCCTTGTGTGTGATATGTATGCCGTGAGCGTTCGGTGATCTGGACACACCAGCAGCGTACAGGTTCTGAACATTTTCCTCTTTGGCCGACATCGCCGACAAGGCTCTGGGTTTGGACCTTGGCAGTGGGCCCTCGTGAGGCTTTGCTAGACATGGAACAAAACATGCTCCCAGTGAACGCTTCTTGGAGCCTGTAATCCAATTGAGTGCTGACAGTGGGTAGTAAGACACCCATAGTCTCTATTGGGTGCCTGATTGATTTCTGTAGATAAGCTGCAGACTGATCGAACCACTGGGCTGTGGCTGTGTAGGAGTCGTTGTTGGAGGCCTGCTCCAACATGCAGAAGCACTCCACACAAGAACCCCTCCCCGGGCATCGTTGCCTGGAGGCTACAAGGGTCGAGCGGAAGAGTTGCCTGATCTGTGGAAATAAGCACGGAAAATGCAACATGTTTTCTTCAGCAATTTTGCATGCTTTTTTTAGATATACTCGCACATTCTTAAGCAACTAGGTGTATGTTTATTGCGTGCTTTTATGATGAAATTACATCGATATATCTGAGTTAGTTAACATCTCGCAGTGGGTTCAACCTCTTGAATGATGATAAATGTAGCTTGTATATGGATTAGTGAAGGGCTCTATCACCAACTTAAGAGCTCAGTATCCCATCCGAACTGATTACAGCATTATCTACTTGTACAATCGGGCCTGACTCCATCACGGATCCCCTGCCATTGCTTGAAAGCAAAACGCAAAAAGAAAAATAAAAGATTCTGAAATGACATGTAGAAAGAAATCTCTCTGTTGCGTTCGACTCAAATCAATACATTGCTGGCCTAGATCAGAACTTCTTTCCCTTCTGTTCAACCTTTCCAGTCGACTTCTAACCTGAATTCCACCTGCAGTATCGGCCTAAAGACCAACATAAGGACATTTCGAAACCGCACGCTTTCACTTCCCATGGCGCTACCCATCCAGTTCCTCTTTGAAGACGCAGAAACAGGCGCTTTCAAGACATTTAACCCCGATTCAGAAATACCGGACAACCGATAATTATGGTGCAAAGATTGCGTCCGTCTTTGATGAGACGTGGATATAGGTCTGTCGAGGCATACGGGACAAGCGCTTCATCCTGACACCGGAGTTGAGATCAATAAATATTCCTCATGGCATCGTCAGCTTGAATCCAGCTTGAGCGGATGGGACCTCAACAAACTTTTGCGCACCACCACAGAGGACGCAGGTGGCTTCCAAATAATCAACCGCAGGTGGCACAATAACTGCCACTGAGATGGAAGAACGGCTTCCATGAAGTTTGGTGGCTTGATAGACGTGCATGTGTCTCAAAAAAGAGGTTACACACAAGTGTCAAGTCTGCCTGATTGAATCCTGCCGGAGTCAACGTTACTTCAATCTACCCTACACACTTGCACGCGCATATGGATGGATGTCTCATGAGACATTTCAACTGCGGCGTGCTATTACTGCAGTTCCACAGGTAATGCTTAAGCATTGCTCGCGGCTGGGTCATTGACCGCTTCACCAAAGGCGTCAGCGTTTCTTTTAGATGTCCTCATGAGGGCAATATCGTCACTGAAATGACTAGACCATTTGAAAATTTCCTGTTTCCATAACCTGTCAAACTGTTCCCAGCATTTGAGACGTACCGCAACTTGAGTCTTCTATCGAAGGTAAGCTCTCCAAACCCCTCCTCTCCCCAAGATCTCGTATGTCTCAGACCACCGGCATGGCAAGAGGAGATCACCTCAAAAAGGTGGTGCGGAAAGAACTCGATGAACCTCGCCATCGGTTTCCCCAGCCAGTAAGAGTCGGCCCGGTCATGTTCGAAGCGAACAGCTCAAGGAAATGTCAACCGTCAACCTGGCCCGTGTCTCAGGCGCCCCGATCACGATGCCAGAAATCCTTCCCGACATTTCAGCTCGGCTTACACAGCCCTCCCCACAAACACCACACCACCACATCTCCCCGCCGCCAGAAGCAACCTCATCTTTCTGTCCCGACCGCAAAAGAATCACCCCGAATCTTACCCCTCCAAATAGCCCCCTAACCGAGACCTACCCCTCCTGCTCACCGGAAGCTCCAACTTCCAGGCCTCCATCAACCTCCCGCGTTTGCTGTCTCACCCTCACTACTCGATCCACGGGCACAAATGTCCTCAACGACTTGCTGGCGGCGTGCATCTCACGGAACTCATTCGTTCGTGTCAACGCAAGGCCTCAAAAGTCCACGCAGCCACCGCCAGAATAATCCATTTCCCCAAACCCCATCAAGCGACGCAGGCAAGCGGCAGCCCCCCGACAGGCCGCATAAGCTCCCTCTCACCGCCCCCCTCCCATTGGCCACAAAGCTCACTTTCAGCTCCAGAGCTGAGCCTCCTCCACATGAGCCCGTCATCTGCACGTAGGCTTTTCCCGCTTAAGCTTGCTCCCCCTCATTTGTCGGTCGTAGGGCTGACATCCTATCCTGCCCAGCTCCCGGGCGTCGTGGTTACACCGGACCAAATATACCAGACAAGTCTCCGGCCCCCATCACACCGCGCGGCACGGCACTTGGAGCTAGGCTAGGCTCGAGTTTGCGCGGGGAAGAGGGGAGGAGGGGCTGCAGGGCTGATCCGGAAAGATACCCGGCGGCGTGGGATAGGGCCGAGGCTCGTATGGGCGAAAAAACCTCCTTGAGCTAAGATGAGTGTGTGTGTGTGTGTTCGTGTGTTCAGTTTTGGCGGGTTCATGTCGGTGAGAGCGGTGCAATGTGCTTCCATGATGCTATTTTGAGAAGGTCGTCTTTGCGGGGTGTCGTTTTGGTTCCCGCGTGATGACTTTGCCTCTAGAATATGCCCCAGCTGGGAAAGCCACGATGCGTATGCCCGGAGACTTGACGTCCTTTCTTCGGTGAAGGCGTGATCACGATCCTTGACTTGACGACGAGGACCATGGCGGTGTTGGGAAGTTGATATAAAGGTACCGCACGACACCTCCTCACCTCCACCCATCTCATCACCAGTCCCATCACCAACTCCCAAGCCCTTCACCCTCGAAAGCTCCAATCTCATATCCTCCACACACACTTCTCAACCCCCCAAAACAGCCCACAATGTTCTCCAAGCTCCTCGTCACCCTCCTCGCCGCCACCTCCGCCCTCGCGGCCCCGGCTCCCCTCTCGGAGCGCCAAACCGGCAGCTCCTACTTCACCCCCTCCGCCGCCTTCCAATACAACGTCCGCGACGGCGCAATCTACCCGGCCTCCTGGGGCTACGTCTCCAAATACCCCCAGAACGCCGGCAACGACTTCACCACCCTGCTGACCTTTACCTACCCGGCCGCGGCCGCCGGCAAGAAGTGCCAGTTCGCCTTCTTCGCCGACAGCAACACCTACGCCGGCGGCAGCCGCCAGCTCGATGTCTTCACCTCGCTGCAGCCCGCCCCAGCAGGCGGCGCGGGAGGTTGGGGCGCGGGCGGGCCGGGCAACCAGCGCAACGCCAACATCGGGCGGGTGTCGATTGTGGACGGCGGGTATGCGACCTGGGACGCGACGTATGGGGCGTATCTGTCGACGCCGTCGGACTGCAAGCCGGCGGGCACGGTGGAGGGGCTGGAGCTGGTTGGGGTGAATGATAACGATTATGTGTCGTTCCCGCCTACCGCTGCCCGGATTCTGTACAACTAGTTGGATGTGTGAGAGCGTGGTGGGGGAGAAGAGCGTTGAAGGGGGCCGGTGTTTATGGAAGTCTGTTCGATTCTTCATCACTCATTCATGGTAGTTTCTGATATATAGGTTTTGGGTAGGGGCGGGCCAGGCGTTTTTGGGTTGAGCGATGCGAGTTGAATCACGGTCCTTAAGCATCAGCAGGGAGGGAGAACCATGCATCCTTAGAAAGCTTTCATTCCTTCCAAGTTCTTCAGAGGACTCAATACGAAATAATTGGGTATTCCCATTAACCTCGAGCCCCTCGACATCTAGTTGCTGTTAGAATCTGTGTTTGATGATTCGTGCCAGAACATACACTTACGGTTTTTATGAGAAGCATCCAGCAGGAGCCTGGTCCCTCGAGATCTCCATACTTCCCGCATGCTTGATCGAAGTAGCCCCGTTCATACCCCCCACGCGTTGACCATGCCCTTCAAAGCCTTGCAATCAAGCTTATGCGTCTTCCAATCCTTCGTTTGGCACTCCTACACCCATAACGTTAGCAAAACCATCCCTTCTCCCCCCACTCCCCTCGCCATCATCAAACTCACCTTCCCACAGTACCGTACAACACCGCACCCCGTACAACTCTTCACCTCCCCGCCCGCCTTCCCACACCCAGCACACATCTCCCCCGCCGCCGCCCCCCTCCCGCCTTCCTCCCCCTCGCCGCCCTCCCTCACCGCCCTCCCCAGCTCAAAAACCCTCTCCAGCGCCGCCGGCACATACTTCACCCCGGTGCCCCTCCCCTCTGCGACCCTCACGAACCCCTTCTTCCCCTCCTTCGGCGCCGTCCGGCACGCGCGCGGCACGACGATCGTCCAGCCCGTCTTCACCGGCCGCAGGTCGATCCCGCGGTCCTCGAACGTGATGGCGAACTCGTCCCCCGCGCGGTCCGCGACCACCACCGTCGGCTTCGTGATGGTCATGTTCTGCTTCACCTGCGCGACGA